TAAAATTTCTCTCAACTTTTTTACAAGCTCGATTGTGTCCCCTAACTTTTAAGGTCTACGTCCGCCCCTGCATGGAAATTAATCCAAATCAAATAGGCCCTAAGTTCTTTTGTAAGAATCACTTGTACTTTAGTATTTCTTCCTTGAAGCATTTTTAATCCTCTAAACTATTTGACGAAAATTCTAAAGCATACGAGATAAGGCAAATATTATTTTTAGGATAGCATATACGTGTTCTGGGCCTCATTTTTTACTTGTATTTTTTCTTGTTCGTGTTTCCATTCTCCTACACCCCTTCATTTTTTTCCCCAACAAATAGCATATGGCATCGTATCGAAAAAAAAGGAATTCATAAATCCTCTAGACAGCTTGAGGTGGAAAATTCATCTTGCTGATTGTATAATCTTAGTTTCATCATAACAATCAATATTATCATTGTTCACAAATAAATTATTCTTTCACTGACCTTTGTAAACATATTTTATACCAATACTTGACAGCTTGAATTGTCAAACATATCAATAAAACCTGGAGAAATAATCTTGACATCTTTTATTAAAATAAATAAAAATGTATGTGTGTACACAAACACAAAAAATTGGTCTGAACATTTTTTTTTTCTTCCAAAGATCATTATTAATTCTTCAAACTTCACTTTAAAACCTTGAACCATTAAAACAGGTCTATTTTGAGGTCCATTGTATTTCAGATGTTCCTTAATTTCTAGCCAATTCGGGTTGTAAGTTATAGTAAAAGAATATATCTGAAATATTAACAAAGTTTTATACCAAAGACTTCGTGGCATCCAAGTATCTTTTACTTACATCTTAGTATTACCAGTAAAAGACCTAGGAAATATAACTATATGACCTATTTTATTACCTCTTTTTCTTTTTTAAGGACTATAACGATGCCTTGATATTATCAGCTCGTAACTGTTTCTGAATATGGCGCAAATAATTCGATCTACATATTTTGATTTTTACATGCACTAGACAGAGTTAAACGTGCGTTGCACGTTATTTT